AATGTTATATACGGGAAAAATAATGTATTCGTTAGAATAAGAAAGAGTATAACTAAAGAAAAACGTTGTACCCCCGTTTTTCTTTTTTCAACGGGGGAGGGATGTTATAGCCCAAAACGGCTATAACCAAATTAGCATAATTATTAATTATTAAATATTATTTAACGTCTTCCGACTATAACTCGAAGCCGAGGAAAACATATAAAGTTACGAGCGTAATCGCTGACAAAGCAAGCCACGCGCGGAGGCCACGCGTTCGCGAGACTCGAAGAACGATACGCCGGAAATGCATGCAAAGAATATACGTAGCTTGCATCCGGGGTTTTTCCATCCTAAGTTCCAATTGGCCAACGATCCCAACAAAATCTCTGTACCTCCACGGAGGCACAACAATATTATAATATAGGAATGTTTCGGATAATTGTAGGATAATAGATTTATGATAATATTATAGATTATTAAGATTGACTAACTAGGAGATTGTCAGCAACATGCCAATGCTTGACAGTGGTTTCTTTTATTATTAAAAGAAAGTAAGAATGTCGTTAAAGCTAGACTGCGCTAGATTAAGCTAACTAAGAGCTGAGAAATCCGTAGTTTATATACTATTGAAAATCAAAAGTGTTGCGGCCCGTATGCAGATCACGCGTTGCATTCTGGAAATTCATTAAGATATTCCGATGAAAGTCTTCTGAGGAAATCTATGATGAACAATATTTCTAAGAATTGCCGATCGATTATTAATAAGTTCTTATCGATTGTTTATGTTTTGGCACCTATGGTCGCGGATCACTCGGAGCCGCTGCGAATCTATTCACCTGTTTATCGCTCGCTGTATCAGGTGTTATTGATGCATCTTTCTATGCGCTTTTCTTTCATCTTGGATAATCTTATAATATTAAAGCTTTAGGATAATATGAAAAATATATATATTAATACTTATGAATATTAATTTATGGAATCACTTATTCAATCTGTTTCAAATCTGGTAGTTAATTTGGAAATTATCGAGTTTCAGTATTCCATGATTGAAGAAAGAGTTATTCTGAATGAATTGTTATATACTAGATGTAACTAAACAAACGCATATGGACAATACTATCAGATACAGAACAACAATTCAAATCGAAAAGTCCTGAACCATTTTTTGATTTGAGCTTTGTTATATGATGTTAAAGTTAACTAATCAACGCCTGTCTACAACGGAAAACAGAGAAGATACGACGGGGGTCGGAGTAGCGAGACGGCTTTCTGGTGTATAAACAGGCGCTGATTAGCTAACTTTAACATCACATAACAATGAAAAGAAAGCTCAAATTAAAAAATGGTTCAGGACTTTTTGATTTGAATTGTTGTTCTGTATCTGATAGTGTTGTCCATATGCGTTTGTTTAGTTACACCCTGTATATATTATATATAATCATACATGATTTCATAAATATAAGTTTCTCAAACCTATATATTATTTATAATCGCTTGGTAAATGTTACAATAAAGTATATTAATTCGCAATGATGGTCCTTTTATGGAAACGTTCTATAATAATTTGTTTTTGATTAGTTATCATAAATTATTGAATTATTGTTCTTTATTTTACGAATAAGATTTAAATAATATTAAAAGTTTATAATTATTTGCAAAGGGTATAAGAAAAATATTTCTAACAAATTATTATTGTGTGCATTTTACGATTCCGTAAAGTATGGTACATACAATATGTTCCTATTATTTTGTTTATTTTAATTATATTCTTCGCGTTTACGCAGGAATACTTATCATATATTCATCTGTATAATTAATTAAAATTTTAAAGATTAAGTATTAGGCCCAGTTCCACAACTTACTTTAACCGAAGTTTAACTCGTTAATGGAGAATTCACATTACATTTGATGTCCGATGTATCCAATCAGACGTCGTACATCGAATATCGGATGCAATGTAAATCTTCCATTAACGAATTAAACTCCGGTTAAAGTAAATTGTGGGACCGGGCCTTATGGCCCTCGTACACTGGATGCGATGAGCGATGAGCGATGGGCGATATCCAATGAGAGCTCTGGTTTTCCGAAAAAATAAAGCTTTCATTGCCCAGATAGCCAAGTTTGCCTGATCACGTATTGCAAATTATGCATTATATATTATATCATTAGAACTCTGGCAGCAGCCGCGCATGATTTGCCATTTCAATTACTGCCGGCAAAAATATAACAGAAAACAAACAATCTCTGCATCATTATATGAAATATAACCTAATCTAACAAAAAATGCTGCAAAATTTAAGCAGAAGTTTTTAGCATAAAAACAGTAGATTTAAAGCATTGCGTGTTGGCACAATATGTTAACAGAAGCTAAATAAAAACTGAACATAATATGACACATCATGCTATATTGGCAAAATATCGTTAGAAATCGAGTTTATCTGCAAGCACGGCGTAACGGCAAAAATGCTGCAAAAATTAAGCATGCCATTTCAAAAGATAACAGCAAAAACACAGCAGAAACACAGCATGATCTGTTGTCATAAAATAATGGTGGAATCAAAGCAATATTAAGATATGCTGTATCAAGTTACAGTTCTTTCGGTTACCACTATATGAGGTATCTATCTCGTAATCAAGTTTCTATTATAGGCCAATATAAAGATCGTAAAGCGCGGTTAACAAGATTAAAAATATGTAATGGCTCCTGCACACAGGACGCGCCGACACGGCAAGCGTTGCCATGTCCTGTGTACAGGAGTCATAATATCTATTTTTATCAGCTTAATTTTTGAATTCTAACAAAGGACTCAAAATATTAAACTATAAGTTTGGAAACCAAATGAATAATTAGAAAATTTATTGACTTCTTGAAACTAAATAAAGAGTTCAATTTCCATACAAATCTTGAAATTTACGAATTATTAATAAATTAATCATTTATTTAAATTTATATATTTAATTAATTATTTATAACTATGCCAATATTCAGATTTTATTGTATCTATATTAGTAATAATTATGCTTTGCAGGCGTGTTTTAACTTTACTGTGTTTTCGTCGTCACATTGTGACAGCAGGCAATGCTCGACTGCTCGACTTTTGCTACGTTTTTGCCGTCACATTGTAACGGCAGATCATGCTTGATTTCTGCCGCATTTCTGCCGTCAGATCTGATATGGCAGACTTCGCTCGATTTTTGTTACATATCTGCTGTCACGACGTAATAGCAAATAATACTCGATTTTTGCTCTATTTTCTCTGTTATATTATATCGGCAAGCCGTGCTGCCAGAAATTAAACTTAATGAGGACGCAGCAGAGCGGAATCTGCTGCGAAGTCATGATTGAATTTGCTGGCATACTGCTGGCATACTGCTAGCATTTTGCTATCTGGGTGGATATCGCCCATCGTTCATCGCTCATCGCGTCCAGTGTGCGAGGGCCATTAAGGCCGTGGCACATAAAAAAACTTAAGCAGTATGAATTAAGACTTAGGACTGTGGCACATAGAAAAACTTAAGCAGTAAGACTTAAGACGTAAGCGAATTGACCAATCACGGTCGAACAGTAAGGCAGCCATATTGAAATGTAAGCAACGCTAAAAATTCCGTATGGTTGAAATTCTTAAGTCTTAAGTCTTACTGCTTAAGTTTTTCTATGTGCCACGGCCCTTAAGAATTTCATCCATACGGAATTTTTAGCGTTGCTTACATTTCAATATGGCTGCCTTACTGTTCGACCATGATTGGTCAATTCGCTTACTGTTTATGTTTTTCCATAGACATAGTATATCTAGACCGAGTGTTGAGAAGTGG